CCTTTGAGGTCCCACAGGCTCTGGAACCCATGTTTCTCACCTTTAGGTCTTTGCACACTGTAATATCTTGGCTTAAACGCTCTTTTCTCCTTTTTTTTCTTTTAAGCCATGCTGTGTTCCTTGTCCCTTAAGATTCAAGGCACTCCTTTCTCCATGAAGCTTCTTTTTCTTTTTTAAAATATTGAGATATAATTAACATAGAACATTGTGGAAGTTTAAAGTGTACAAACCGTTGATTTGATGCATTTGTATATTGCAATATAATTAGCACCTCTATCATGTCACAAAATTATCATTCTTCTTTGTGGTGAGAACTTTGAAGTTTATAATACAGTACTGTCAATTATAATAACTACGCTGTGCATTAGCTCTCCAGGATTTGTTTATCTGCTAGTTGCAAGTTTGTACTCTTAAACCACATCTCCGCAATTCTTCCACCCCTGCCTCCCAGCCTCTACATTACAGAAGTCATCTTTCTTTCTCTGCTTGGAATACTAGAAAACAATTCAAAGTTCAAACCCCAGAAAATGAGGGCTGTAAAAAGTAATTTCTCACCCACTTGAAGTCAATCTCCTGGTGTCTCATTTCTTTTAAAAATTTTTATTTATTTTTGTTGTCTATGCTGTTAGTTGTTCCTACTTTTTCTCCCCTTCCCCACCTCCACCCAGTCCCACCCTCTCCCCTCCCCAAGTCAATCCCCATATTGTTGTTGGTGTCCATGGATTGCACATAAATATTCTTTGGTTAATCCCTTCACCATCTTCCATCCATTCCCTGGTATCTCATTTCTCACGTGAAGTCCCACTACTCTCTTGATGAGTACTATTTTCAGGGGACACTCTGACCTTTCATAGACCGCACCTGGACAAGTAATTCAGAATTTAGCTGACTATGTTTACAGTCATTCTGGGGATATGCGCTTATCATACAGATTGCAAAGGTGGGATGGGATGGTGGTACATTTCATCGAAGTCTCATGACAGTTATTATTTTACTCTCATAAGAGCACACTGCATATGGGCCACCTATTTACAGACCACTTAAGAACAAAATAGAGATGGGAAAACAGAAAAGACAAATCAAGGAGCCTTGTCTGTATCTATGTCAACTACAGGAAATACTGCATTAACATTTTAGGTTTTCAAAGGTATGCCATGGCTAGTATATTGCTGAAAGTTAAGAGACTTTGCCCTTTTCAGAATCTCTACACCTTGTGTAACATACCAAAAAAAAAAAAGAATTTAGAAGTACCTAAAACGTAGTAAAATTAATAAGGATCATTTTGAATGTCTAGATATTGAACAATCACATGAACTTTTAATCTTAAACTTTTGAGTTTCCAACTGAAAGAGTAGGCAATGTCTTTTCCTCTTAAATTCTAATTATTCTCAGAGTGTAATGCCCAATAAAAATGTTATTAATAAAAGTTACTAATATTTGCAGTTTCATTTTACATTAGTAAACTTTAATGGGTAGTAAATGCAATGTTTGACTTCCTAACAAGGAGGGTGCTGCAAGCCAAGGCCACAGCGTTCCAGCCTGTGACATCATAAGCTATGCTGAGTAATGTATTCTGCTGTGTATGATGTACATCCACGTTTTTGGCCCAAACTTTCAGGAAAAAGAATCTTTCATTTTAATTTTTTAATTAAATTTTAAATTTATTTATAATTAGATACTTGTTTTTTTGTATTACCAAGGAATTTCGGCAATATTTTGGCAAGTATTTTATTTTTGAACATACAGATATTGTTGTTGCTTTCTAGAGTTACACTTTTCATGCATAATCATAAATAAAATACTTAAAACAATGGGATTAGTACTACCCATGTATAATGCACACCCTTATTTTTCCCTTCAAAATCTGGGCAAAAATATGTGCATTACACATGGCAAAATATGGTAACAACTTGAAGAATACCCCCCATTCAGGGGTATATATCTAGATGCATAGCAAATTGTGTAGGTGTAATCATTTAATTCATATCTTCTGCCAAGAAGTTACAATTCGGTGGGTTGGGTGTTCCTTCTAGTAGAAAATCCTATCCCACCTTTGTTTAAATATTTTATTTTTAGAGAGAAGTGAAGGAAGGGAGAAAAACATCGATCCATTGCCTCTTGCATGCCCCCAACTGGGGACCTGGCCCACAACCCAGGCATGTGCCCTGACCAAGAATGAGAACCAGTGAACTTTTGGGGAGGATGATACCCAACCCACTGAGTCACACCAGTCAGAGCTCCTGTCCCACCTTTGTTATCAAAATTTTCTTTACTTTGTATATAGGTAAGGGTTTGTAAATCAACAATCTTGATTTCATCATGAAATTACATTCTTTTTGCTTGAGTTCCTCTGAGTTATGCTTAAGTCTTCCTGTTCTGAATCCAGTTTTTTTTTTTTTTCCTGCTGTGGTTTCAATGTATGCTGAAGTCAAGTCCTAACATTTTGAAAGCTATCTAGTCCTTAATTCTGTCAAGATGGTAATATTAGAAAGAGATACAAATTAGACAGTGATAGAGACTTGAGCCTGGCCCTGACCAGTGTGGCTCAGTTGTTTGGGTGTCATCCTGCAAAGCAAAAGATCACCGGTTTGATTTCCCATCAAAGCACATACCTGGGTTGCAGGTTCAGCAACTGATCTGCTTCTCTCTCACATCCCTTTATTCCTCCCTTCCCTTCTCTCTAAAAACATAGTTGAGTGTATGGTAGAGGGATACAAATAAGGCAGCTTTGTAAACACATCTACTGATAGTTCATATGAAGACCTTTGACTAGAAAACTTCCATTGTAGTACCAAGAAATATAAACAGATTTTAAAATTAAATTTATTGGGGTAACATTGCTTAATTAAGATCATATAGGTTTCAAGTGTATGTTTCTATTATATGTGATATGTATATCCATTTTAAGATTGCCATATATGCCAAGATCTTCCTTCCTCTAACCGATAATAGTTGTAAGACTCAATAAGGGTTTTCAGGTCAGAAAAATTAAAGCAAGTTAGCTTTAGAATTTTAACTCAATCCATTTGGAAATCCAAATATGTATTGAGTATGCACAATATTAAGTGTTGTTCCATGAAGGAGCTTAATAGTTGTTAGACTGTTGACCGTGAAGCACTTTCATGGTCCTCTTCTTTACACTTAAACAATAATACACAACCATTGTATTTTAACTGTGACGTGGCTAGAAGTAAAATTTCCGCTCTATTTTCTTTATGCTTCCTTCTGCAGTGAACCTCTGATTTTTGCCAACTATCTTACTGTAACCAAGGGCAAAGTAAAGCATGATGTTGAACAATTCTGAAAAATTGTAAGATATGGTTGACAGGTTTTTTTGTGTAATTGTCTTCTGTCCCCTTTCATTTTTACCAGGACATTGTTAATAGTGAGCTGGCAAATCCACGAGAGACACAAGCCTTAGCCCTAGATCATTTGGATTGAGTAGTTGTGACTACACTGTCTCTATCATCTGCTCCTTCGTAATGGAGGGCATTTATTTATTTAACAAATACTTTATTAGCACTTACATGGCAGGTATATTAACATACTCAATATTAGACTATTTGCTCAAATCTGAGAGAGCAAAATGCTGTTAGAAGCCATCCATTGCCCTGGCTGGTGTGGCTCAGTGGGCTAGGCATCATCCCATAGACTAAAGGTCACCAGTTTGATTCCCAGTCAGGGCACATGCCTGGGTTGCAGGCCTGGTCCCCAGTTGGGGGCATGCAGAGGGCAACCAATAGATGTATCTCTCCCTCTTCCTCCCTCCCTTCCCCATCTCTAAAAATAAGTAAATAAAATCTTTTTTTTTTCTTTTTTTGTTGCTTAAAAGAAGACTCCCTTTGTTTAATGCCTCTTTTCCTTCCTCCCTACAGATGTGTGAAAGGTCAAGTGAAAATTGCCTCTTCCTGGCAGGCACACCACACTCCCTATTCTGGACTTAAGCCATTTAACCATCTGAACTATAAACCTGGGGTGTTTAGTTTTTTTCAGCAATTTAAGAGTGGCAAGTTACTGATGTTGCTTCCTACCCTGGCAATGCACCAATCACTAATTCAAGTCATGAGAAAAATGTTGGCCTCATCTTTGGAGTCTTTAAACCCACGAATGGAAACCAAATCTTTACCACACATTTGCAATCTCATGAGATTTGCTGCAGCTGGATTCATTTTAGTATTTTAAAAAGGTAACACTTTTCTAAACATACTCTCATGTTTCTTTTTTCACGTTGCTGTCCTCTTCCCAAATGTCCATGGGATAGTTAAAAATCAGTTTAATTTTCAAACCCATCCCAAATATTCTTTTCTCTAGGAAACTATTCATCCTTAAAACCAATATATGGTAATTTATTTTTTCTTCTGACTCCTCCACAATACTTCCTAACTTTTGACTCCCACTTGCTTCTCTTTCATATTAGGGAATTACCAGTATTTTAAACATTATCTTTTTTAAAGGCCTTATGACTTCAAAGAGTCATAAGGGTGAAAAACCACCATGATATTTGGTTTTCACTAACGCATCAGGAAGAATGCTTTACTGTGAATTGTGGGGGTGGAGGGGAAGGACAGAGATTATGATCTGTGCTGGTTTCATTCCTAATATAATTTGTCTTTTAAACTAAGCTGAGGAGGCGAACCTAACTTTAACACTGGAAAATCACGAGCGGGGTGGGGGGAACCAACAACCCTTTGGAGAGCTGCAGGCAAAATTAACCGACTCCACGCAGTTTGGAGCAGCTGTCTCAGGAATCCTCCCTTCCTTAGAATGTGGGAAAGGTTTGGTGGGACGGCAGCTGCAAAGACGGGAATCTTTCCCATTCCTTGTGGACACGACCCCCGCCCACCCCCTCCCAAATGGTGGCAGCTGCTGGGTATCACAGTGGAAATCTCTCTCCAAGCCTTCGCCGAACGCAGCGGGCGGGCAACAGCTGAAAGCAGTCAGCGGTGAGGACTCCGTTCCCCTTAGGCAGAGGCAGCAGCCTAGCTGGTTCAGGTGCTGCAATCTCCGTGGCTCGTAGTGGTCCCTCAGGTGTTCTTCTCCAAGTCCAACAAACACCATGGCAACGTGGGGCGGGTTCCCTCGGCGCCTGGAGACCCTACGGTAACTACGTGAGCTCTGAGCGTCAGAATCACCGCTCAGCACTAAGCAAAGCACCTTCCCAGGTTGGGGGAGGAGCCGGCTTTAGGAGGGAAAGGTCTTTCGTCGCTGGGCGGGGAACACACCTGGTACTACTTGAGCACCGCGCCCACTCGGGTGCCTCACAAGTGGTCCTGCCAGCAAGTCCGCGCCCAGCGTCCCCGCCCTACCCAGACCACCCGGCCGCCCGCGCGTCCCCACCTCGCCGCGCGGTTGCCTCCGCCTTCGCTCGCGCACGCGCACGCCGCGCCGGGCAGCTTTCGGGGCTGTCATGGCGGCGCGGAGCAGCCTCAGTGGGCACCACGACAACCGCGGGAGCCCTGGCGGGGCGAGCTGGGCCAGTAGCACCCTCACCCCCACCAGCAGCCTCAGCCCTGGCGTCCGTAGCCCCAGCCGCGGTTGTTTTTGCAAGGGCTGATCGCAGGGGTGGGTCGGACCAGGAAGCCGTGGAGTTCTGTGCAGCCGCGGACTCCCGGGGAACGGACTAGGGAAACTTGGAGGCTGCGACCAGGTGCACTGACCTCTCAATCCCCTTCTCTCCTAGCCGTCTCCGCCAGGCCTCACCGCCCTTCGGGCCACAACACACCTGCCCTACTCTCCCTGATGAACCTCAGGTGCCCGCGAGGTGCTCCACTCCTCCCCCTGGGCCGAGCGCTGAGAATAATCACCGCCCCCTTCCCCCGCCTTTTCCTGCCCCGGATCTTCGCAGCTACCTCCGTCTCGCGGCTCCCTGGCGCGGGGTGAGGACGATCCGGAGTATCTGGGTGAGGAGTAACTTTCTACCTCTATGGCAGCGTGGGGCCCCCTCCTTTCCTGGGACCCCCTCCTCTCCCAGGGGCAGTTTCTCTTTCCGTGCACCTGTGAGGAGAGGTTGCCCTGCGCCAAGAACCTGCGAGAGTGGGGGAGGAGTGAACCTGCTCTGGAGCCTCCTGCACCCGCCTTCACTCTGAACCCCGCTCCTGGAGCTGGGGAGGAGCGGGGGATGGCGGTGGGGTCCCTTCAGTAACTTAGTTGACGCACCATAACTGTTACCCCTCTCTCCCTAAAGCACCCTAAAACAAAACCTAGCCTATTTAACGTTTGTCTAATCTTCCAATAGGGTTTGGCGTTGTTGTCAGCCTCGGGCAGAGAGATTGGACAAGTATTCTCGAAGAGCAGGAGGGCGACGCCAAGGACTTTCCACTTCAACTGCTTTTGGGGGTTCTCCACAACTTGGAAGAGCGACCTTTTTCCTTTTGCGTTGCGTGTGCTTATTACTAGTGCAGCGATTGCTGTCCCATAGTGACTCGAGTTTTCCGTGAACTAGAAATGGCTAGTGAGGACAATAATGTCCCTTCCCCGCCACCAACAGGTGATGACGGGGGAGGTGGAGGGAAAGGAGAAGAACCCTCAGCTGAAGAGGGTGCATTGTCCCTGAAACCAGGGCTCCCCATCAGGGGCATCAGAATGAAATTTGCTGTTTTGACGGGACTGGTTGAAGTTGGAGAAGTATCCAATAGGGATATTGTGGAAACTGTCTTTAACCTGGTAAGTAGATGCCCATTTTAAAAGCATATATTCTTTTCAATGGATTGAGGAACAAGATGTTAAAGGAGGAGCCATGTGCCTGACTAGATTGTTGATGGCCTTTTCCATGGGTAGAAACACAAAATTCTACTGACTTAAGTGAAACAGTTTCCTGTATTTGTTAGTTTCAGGGAAATTATGTAAAACTAAGATGCTCCAGTTTTTGTGAAATTGAGCAGATCACTTTTGTGCTAATAAATGTTGCTAATGGAAACATTTTGCAGGGTTCCAGTGGAGGAGTTTTATTCTATAAATTTTGGGGGGAGGGATGTGTAAGTTTGCATTTCTCTTTGACATTTTAAATAAATTCTTGTGATTTTTTTTTTTGCACTTGAGAAATAATGTAAACGGTAAGGCTGCCTAACTGAGTCTAAGTTATAGTTTGCCATATAAGTTTTGAACATAACTTTTGTTCATAAGGCTGAAGAAAGATTACTGAAAAGTTAGCATTTTAAATTGTGGTTAGTGTTTTTAGGCATAACTAACAAATACTAAATTTTGCACTGAATTTAAGGTTATATTGTGAAAATTAAATGGCAATTTGAAGAGAGGATTTTGGGAATAACAATGATCTTTGTTTCTTCTGTAAATTTGTGTCTAGCAGTTAAACATGTGGTCATCGGAAGTTGCTGGTTATACTACAGTGAGCTATGAATGTTATTTTTACAAGATGGATATGCAGTATTTTTCTTTTGCTTTTTTCTGTTCTTAGAAATGGTTATTTCTGATGGGGGCTTTTTAGATTTCTTTATTCCAAACTCTTGCCCATCAACTTTAAGGCCAAATTTACTTTTTATTTTTGAAGTACTTCCTCCTCTTCCACATACTCACCTGTGTTAGGACATAACACATGGGAACAAAATGAACGTGCAGTGGTTGTAACGATTACTTAGCACCTTTCCTTGTTGCCTGTATGTTTTCAAGGTTAGACTCCTTTTATTCCAGGGCAGTTAATTATTTCCTTCACTAGACCTCTACTAATAGTCTGGTCACCTGCAATACAACTTCTAGAATTTGAAAGTAGCTTGATGAAATCCACTTACTTTTGGAATAAGAAAACTTTGCTAGAGAAATGTCCTATTGTTCAGCTTGTATTGGGAGTTTGTGTACACCTATAGACGCACATGTACACCCATGTATTTTGAACTATACATTCTGGGAATGTTCAAATACACAAATAGAATAATATAAAGAACCCTGTTATCTGTCATCCAGCTTCAACAATTACCAGTATTTTTTTTTTTTTGGATCTTGTGAATGTGGGGACTTAAGTTTGTGAGTCTCAAGGAGATAAATGGTAGATTAATGTATTCCCTCTACTTCAAAATAGAGACACTTGAAAACTTTTCTTTTTTCTTCTTCTAAACCTCTTGTAACTTGGATGATAAACACAAATCTATGGTGGTAATACAGGCCATAATTAGTTGTTTGTGTGTGAAATGCAACATTCCCCTGGCAGGAGGAGCATTTGAACTCCTCATGGTCTTTGAGTCTCTTGCATTTTATCATTACGGAAAATCCAAATTCTTAGGCAATACTTGGCTTATATGCTTTCCACCACTGTAGGCCTGGTAGAGATTTTAAGGTTATTAGTTAAGTCTTTCACATCTCTGTGTTTGCAGGACAGTAGATGTCCCAGTAGAGGGAGAGGGAAATCTGTTCAGTTTAACCCACTCTTCACCATCATTCTCTTTGTAGAGAAAGTTGCTGAGAGAATTAAATTAGCTCCTCTTTCCATTCTCCCTTGTACTTTTCATGCTCCTTCGTGGGTATCTGGGGTCTTGGCTAGTCTTTAGAAAATAAGGGGAGCTAAACAGCTGGGAATCTGGCCACGTAGTTCATCCCAGGGTTGTTAATACAGGTGCACCTAAGTATTTCCTAATTGGTATGCATTAAGTAACAGTAAGTGATTTTTTAAAAAGTTACTATTTACCAGGCAGTGGGCCAGGTGCTTTACATGATTTTTAATTCTTCCCTCAATGAGTCTAATACACAGGTGTACCTCATGTTATTGTGCTTTGCTATATTGCGCTTCACGGGCGTTGCACCTTTTTTGTTTTAAACAAATTGAAGGCAAGACCCTCCACCAGCAAAATGGTTACACCTGCTCTATTGTGATACTGGCTTTATTGCGGTGGTCTGAATCTGTGATGTTACCCAGGTATGCCTGTGTCTCATTTTATAGATAAAACTGAGACACTGAAAGGTTAAGTAGATTGCCTACAATTTGATAATTCTGAGAATGGCAACCTTTCTAGGAACACATCTGTCTCTTGAGTTGATGGAGAATTGTTGGCTCCTCTAAGCAGGTATTTATAGTTTAGGTATAGCTTTCCCCAGTGTAAGGGCACAAAAATCATTGGTTCTGCTAAATATTAATGGTGAAACCTCCATCAGTACATTTAATTTCTTATTTAACGTTCAAATAGCTTTAAAAAAAAAGCTTTAAAAAGACCTTAAAAGTAAGAAACCATTTGGTCATTTGTTTTCACTCAGAATATGGGTGTGGAAAGTTGGTCATTAACTTTTTTTGCAGTCAGCACATTGGATAAAGATTTCTAAAATTATGAATAAGAAGGTACGGACAAAAGAATATGTAACACGACTAAGTAGTGAAGTGCTACAGAAATAGAAGCCCTGTGGACCTTGCAGCTGACCTACCCAGTACTTCATCGATATCACTGAGTCTGCCTCTGTGCTCCGCCTTCATCCTGGCTGCGCTGGGTTTTCTTCAGTGAATTCACACCATTATGGCTGTTGTGACTTTCTTTTTCTGTTTTTCAGGCATTTTATTAAAATAGATTATGTTCTACTGATTTTTTTACTGATTACATATTAACTACTTGAAACAATAAAGTTGTATTGTTAAAATTAAGCAACTTCCCATTCCCCAAAATTGTCTAAATTAGTGGTAGAGACATATAACTTGAAAGTTCTTTCTCTTTTATAGAGTTCTGCCTCCCAGTTTTGTTACTGTGGCCTGAATTTACTGTGCCATAAATTCCTTTGAAATTTACCACTCGTCCTGTAATTTCTTTTGCAAGTCTTTTACAGATAAATTTTGATTAATAGTACACCTGTGTATTCAAGTATTTCAAACTTCTGGTCAGCTTTTACATTTTGCTGGTTGCACTTCACAACCACTTTATTTTTGTCTTCATCTGTATGCTAAAGTTATTTGTCAAACTTTAGGACCCAGAATAATGAATGTATTGATGTTTTTAGGAACTTGATGCTGAGTTTAAGTCTTCTATCAGGTATTTAAGAGTATTATTCAATTCACCCTGGCTGGTGTAGCTCAGTGGATTGAGCGCGGGCTGTGAACCAAAGCATCGCGGGTTCGATTTCCAGTCAGGGCACATGCCTGGGTTGCAGGCCACAGCCCCCAGCAACCGCACATTCATATTTCTCTTTCTCTCTTTTTCTCCCTCCCTTCCCTCTCTAAAAAGAAATAAATAAAATCTAAAAAAAAAAGAAAATCACAATCCTAAAAAAAAGTACTCTCCTTTAAAAAAAGGAGTATTATTCAATTCTATTTAATTCAAGAATAGTAATTCCTGTGGTCTGGTGACAAATACATGTTTTTGTGGGTTTTTTTTTTGAAGAGTATAAGATTTTAATTAAAATGTTGAAGCTTAAAAGAATATAATTTTTCATTACAGTAGTCCCCTCCTTATTCAGTTTCACTTTCTGCAGTTTTACTTAACTGCAGTCAGTCATGGCCTGAAAATAATAAATGGAAAATTCCAGAAATAAACAATTATAAGCTTCAACCTCCTACCCATTAGTCACTTAGTAGCTGTCTCAGTTATTAGTCGCAGTATGGCAGTGCTTGTGTTCAAGTAACCCTTATTTTACTTAATAATGGTCCCAAAGTGCAGAAATAGTTTAAAGAGAAAAGCAATGTAGGAAAAACCATAGTATATATAGAGTTCAGTGCTATTACTGGTTTCACTCATCTCCTAGAGGCCTTGGAACATACTCCCTGTGGATAAGGGCGGACCGCTGTACTCATTGTATGGCATCTGAGATAGGTCCTGCTAAAACATCAGTGGTGCAACGTCTTAATACCCGTAGGCGTGGAGCCCATCACACTAGGCCTCCGCTCGTATTGACTGCAGAGTGTGTAGTTGTCGACTTAAAGGGGCAGCTGCTATTCCAGTCCAGCTGGTTGCTGTCCTACAGTAACGGGGCTGAATGGTGTAATGCCTTCTGATTTCTCAGGAATGAGAAATCTAGATTAAAAAATTTTTAAATGTCATGTTAAAATAGTATTAATTATGTGGGCCATAAAATCCCATGTAATGGCTTTTCAAGCTTTTATATGAACCTTAATTAAAAAAATAATCATTAAACATGTTTTTATTCTGATGTGTGCCATCAAGGGTTACAAGTAATCCCTTCTGGAAATACACTTCATAGGGTTCCCCCTAAATCAATTTATACTTCATGTTGTAAGTAGTGGAAAACTTGAAACTGGTTTTAAGCACAGTAAAAAAGATTTACAGGCTTATTTATCTGGGTGTCAAAGGTATGGCAAGACTTACAGAAACAGAATAATATTAAAGACCAGTTTCTTTCCGTTTCTGTTCTGCTTTCTTTGATGTCAGCTTTGATCTGTTGACGTTCCTCTCATGGTTGCAGAATGGCTGCCAGTGGCAGTTGGGGGAGAGAGCCTCTCTGTCTGAACATTCCAAACCAGAGTCCTGATTGGACCTCGGGGCAAAATGACTGTGGCCATTGAAATGTGCTCATTGGCTTAAGCAAACCTGGGCCAGCTGCTGTACCTAAGGATGGGTTGGTTTTCTCTGAAGTACTAGGGCTCTTTGCGGAGGGGTGGAGACACTAATAAAAACCTGGGTAAGACATGGAAGAAAGAGGTGAATGGATTCTCGATAGGCAACCATGACGTCCACTAGTTTCCTTTTCAGTTGTATAGCAATATAATAGGCTAAGGGTAT